CGGGACTGACCTCTCTCACGGAGTACAAGACAGCGCAGCGGAATGCTAGAATACCAATGACTAGCTCAATCAACGTCGCAATACAGACTAAACATACATCATCCTCATCACAAGGTGTGAAGGGGCCTGGCGCTACACACAGGAAGAATGCGGCAGGACCAGACCATCCACAGACGAAGAGGAGGGGATCAGACGAAGAAGAGGGGGAAGATGGGAATGTTGTCAACACCAAGTCTTCGGTACAAGTCCCAGATAATCCCTCGTCAAATGTCTGAAGCCCAATGTCGAGTCTGGACCAAATGTCACCAATCCCGCTCTCTCGTAGTCTGCTGATGCAGTGAAGTCAGGTAGCAAGAGGGTGAGAGGGAGATGGTGGACTGAGAAGAGGAAGAAGAAGAACTATCTCTCTCTCTCTCTCATGTGCCAGGCACTAACCTGTGAAGATGGCGCCGTGCTGCAGGTACCTCGAAGACGAAGCTGGAGCTATGGCGCTGCAGGTAAGTCTCYCTGGCCTCCRCCCAATCTCTCTCTCTCTCCAGTACTACTCTAGCTCCTACTAGCGCCCAGCGCTGAAGACTACTGCTAACGCTACTACTACTACTGCAGCGCTCCTCCAGAGTGCTGCTGCCGAATCCTAAAGACTACCTCCTGCCTCCTGAACTGCACGTGAAGTGCCTGGGAAGTCCCTATGAACTACCTGCAGCCTGCAGGGCGGGCCAGTCTTATATAGTGCTGGCCCGTCCAGGAGGCTGCTCTTGYCAATGCCAAAACGTGCCAGACCCTGGCGTTGAAGCTCAAACAAAGGTTGTCTTGAAAACAGGCCCCAAATGGCCTGTGCTAAAACCCTGGTCTGGTGCCCAAGTTTCAGGGCAGGTCCGTCTTATGAGGTCCTGAAAATGGCCCTCCGTTTCAGGCTAAAAAGACTCAGGGTCGGGAGGGCCCTGTTTTAGGCTGAACGACACAGGGCCTGTAGGCCCTTGTTTTCAGGCTTTCAGGCTGAAAACGACACGGGCCTGAAAATGGCCCGTGCAGCCTGTTGCAGGCGCAGCATGTAACAGAGAAGGAGCTCTAGAAGTAGGAAGGGTGTTTGATGCAGCCCCGAGAGAAAGCCAATGCTCCAGGCTAGGAAATGATAAGGCCACAGTCCCAACAAAGGTACTGCTGAAATGATGCATCTAAGGGACGCTGGACCCTGTTTCCAGCAGGTGATGCTCCCAACCAATAGATGGAGCAGCCCAACAGGCAAAGCCTCAATTCCGGTGGTTCTCTTACCACCACCGGGATATAGGCCTTGCACAAGGGGGCTTTGTTTGTAAAAAAAACAAAACAAAGGTGGGGATGTGTTGTATTTGAGGGATGCGTGGACTGGATTTTAAGCTGAAATAGTGACTGCGCCCCGGTAGTTACCCCCTTTTTTTTTTCTCACACAAACCAACACATTTCCTTCTATTCTGAGGGCATACTCACACGGCGACCCCAAATTCCCAAAAAATGCGGATTTGGGAAGGCCGGATTTGCGGTTTTGAGAACACCGCCAGTCACACTCCGTTCCCATTTCTAATAAGACAAGGTCTGGGCCGAGTGCCGAAATGGGGATTTGGGGAATCGCGGGTCACACATGGCCAGCCTCTTTTTTTTTCTTCTTTTTCTTTCTTTCTTTCA